GGACAGCCTGGCACAGGACAGCCCTGCAGCCTGGCACAGGACGGGCCCTGCTCTGAGCCCGGCGGGCCGGCCCTGCTGCGAGCGCAGTGCCGTTCAGCGCAGGAAGTAACGGCTCTGCGCGCGGGGCGAGCGCCGCCCGCCCGGAATTAGCACCTGGGCCCCCGCGGCGCCGCGGGCGCCCGCAGCACGGCCAGCCTGTCCTGCACCCCGCACGGCGCCCRCCCCACCGCAGCCACCGCCACCCTGCCCCGCGCTGCAACCACCACCAGCCCCCCGGGCCCCGAATTCCAGGGATTTCCTACAAAAACGGAGCTCCCTGCGGAGAGCCTCGTAAATGTCACCGTGTCACCAGCTGCCCGGCCAAATCCCCGCGCGGGTTGGGTTACRGGGCCGGGTTACAGGGCGGCCGCTCGGAGCAGCTGCTCTGGCCGGGAATGGGGATCCTGCTTCTCCCACCACCCCGGACTCCCCGGCCCCCTGCCCGCAAGGCTGGGTGCCCCAAACGCAGGGACACGAAGAGGAGTTGTGTCCCGTGTCCCGAGCGCTGCTGCCCCATCGCCCCCCGGGTGTTACCTGGGGCGGGCGGCGCGCGGGGCCCCGTGGGCAGGGGCAGCGCGCCCAGCGCCCGCGCCAGCAGCCGCGGCCCCAGGCCCAGCACGCGCACGCGCACGTCGCGGCAGCAGTGGTTGATGAGGCGCAGCTGGACGCTCACGCGGGTCCGGATCCGCACCAGGCACTTCACCATGGCGGTGGGGACGYGGCGGAGCGGGGACGCGGCGGAGCGGGGACGCGGCGACGCTGCCCGGGCGCTGCTCTGGCCCCCGAGCAGGGCACGCGCCCGGGTCACGCGTCCCGTGTCGCCTCCCCGCGCGCTGCCAGCCAGTCCGGGTCCTGCCCGGCGCCTGCGCGGGGCCCTGGGCCCTTTCGTCACAGCCCAGTGTGAGCGGACGAACACCTGATGGTTGCAGCGGCTCTGGTGACGGCTCTAGCCCCTTTCCTTGCAGGCCTTTAGCAGACGTGCTTACTGGCACGACGCTCAAGGCAGGGAAGTAATAACATAAACGCAAGGGAAGAGTGAAGAAGAAGGCGCTCTCGTCATCAGAGCACGAGGGCCCACGGGGCAGGGGTGCTGCCGGCCACGAGTGGCACCYGCAGCACGGCGAGCTCGGCGGCTCCCGCACCTGCTGGGCAGGGCACATAGAGCCAAGGAAGGTGGAGGGCTCACAGGGAATTCCCGTCGGGAATGGGCGGCTGCCTTTTCAAGGTGCTTCACCCCCACGTGGGTGTTGATTCCTGAGGGGCCCCTGTGCACGGCGCAGACGCGCGCGCCCCGCGSCCCCTCCGCCGTGTCGCCCGCTCCTCACCTTCCATGATGGAGATGTGCACGGCCCTCCTGCGCGTGCGCGGCACGCTGCTCAGCCGCGGCCCGTGCGTGATGGAGGGGCAGCTGCGGCTCGGCACCAGCCCGGCCCTGCGCGCACGAGGGCACGGTGAGCGCGCGGCGGGCGCACGGCGAGCGCGCGGCCAGCGGCTCCGCGCGGCGCCCCCGCTCCCACCTGTGAATCTCCGGCGGCTCCCGCTTGATCTTGGCGCTGGACTCCATCACCTCCTTGGCAACGCGGCCGCTGCGGGAGCGCGGGGGGGCAGCGTGAGCCCAGGGCTCGGCCCGGCCCCCCAGGCCGTGCCGGTGCCGCTGCCCCCGGGCTGGAGGCAACGGCCCCTCGGAGCGCCCGGGAGAACTCCCTCCGCTCCCAGTTATTACCCAAAGAAACCCCAAACCTCCTTCCCCATCCACCGCGCGTGCAGGGCGCTGGAGAGAGGAATGTCGGCGGGAAGTGGAGGAGCTGGTGCTCCCGTAGCAGGGGCCCTTGGGATCCTGCCATGTCCCGGCCCCACGCCACCCCCCGGGCCCCGCGGCGCGCCCACCTGTATCGGAAGCGGCTCCCCTTGAAGAACAGGTTGCTGCTGGACACCGTTCGCACCTGGCTCGACTTCTCCAACCTGCAAGGGCATCGCGGGCTGCGTGACGATGCCAGCACCGGGTGCCCGGGGCTGGTGGCCGGTTCGCTGCCTTTGGGCAGGTTTCTAGYGCCCAGCAATGAGCGCTGGCCGCTCGGCTGGCTGCACCTTGGCCTTGGACGCCACGGGATGCGGCCACCCGGGATGGGGGGGGCCTCGGGATGTGACCGCAGCCGTGGGACCGGCCRCTTCCCAGCTCCAAGGCCAGCGGCCCTGACACGGAGCAGACCCCACAGTGCAAACGGGGCTGCACTTAAGGGGCAGGACCTGTCCCGTGGGGGAAGGAACAYGGGGACACGTCTGTCCCTAGGCACCGGGCACAGGCAGGGAGCAGGCCCCTGCAGGTCAGTCACGGACGGGGCTGGCAAGGCAGGAGCGCAATTCCACTCTTGTTAATATAATGAGAAATGAAACCTGCTGATTGCAGCTGCTGATTGCAGTACTCCCAGGGAGACCACACTGCACGCTTTAGATCACAGACTGCTGATTAAAATAAAACCCATTACAAAACACAACGCAGGCTATTTTTAAGCAGAACACAGAGCAGTGTGGTAAACCCAGCACACTCCAGCAGACAGGTGGGCCACCAAGTGCACGGCCCCTTTGCAWCCTGCGCTGCCCTCCGAGGTGACCCTTTCAGACAGCCTAATTAGTCAAATGGGGGCAGAGCAGAAAACGGACTTGATTAGCGGGGCAAGGGAGCCGCAGCCTCTGTCCTCCGAGGGAGACGAGCGACGGCGCTGCCCAGCTGCCCTGCTCCTCGCCGCTGCTCCCTGCTGCTCGGAGCAGCCTGGGGAGCAGGAGCGCACTGGTTTGGTCCAGCACTCGTCTTTCCACTGGTTTGGTCCAGCACTCGTGTCCTTGGCCCCTGGGCCGCTCTAGGGATCATCCCGTGCTGGGGAGCCAGGACGGCCCTCAGCAGTGCAGCATGCAGAGAACTCCCGGGAATTCCTTGGATCCAGGGAGCTGGACRTGGGCACAGGGATGGCACCGCAACCCGCAGGGACTGTTTGGTGGCGCGGCCGCAGTCCCGATTACCAATCTGCAGTAAACCCAGCTCTCTGATCCTTTCTGCATTTCAAACCAACAAACCCGTCTCCAACCAGACTCAGTTATTCCTGGCGGTTCTGCATGTTTCCAGTGCCACACACGTGTGGGACGGGTTTGCAGAGCCCCAGGGCCCTGCCGGGACTTCGGGGTCTCAGCGCTGCATTGAGCTCCCCAGAGCCAGACAGAGCTGCTCCAGAAACCCACGTGGAGCTGAGCAGCGGTGCCCGGGCTCCCGCCCGCCCGCCGGGCGCTGCTGCCCGCGGCTTCGCCAGCGCCTTTGCACCAGCACCAGCTCTGCATGGGCAGAGRATGGACCAAAACACCCCTGCCATGCGCACGGGACACGGGCCCCTTTCTGCACCCAAGTCCTAGTCTCCAGACAAAGACTTGCTGCACCTGGGCCGGCCCCAGGCCCGGAGATAGGCCGGGAAGGGGGGGTCTGAGCTGCTGCTTCCTTGATTTKGTCTGGGATGTTTGGGAGGGGGTTGCTCCAGGGGGATCATGCCAACCCATGGAGGGACGTGTCACACATCACACAATAAAACACACAAATGTCCTTGCACTTACTTGTAAAAGGCTTGATTTTCTATCCCGCACTTCCAGAGATGTTTGCAGGCTTCTGGTGTCGGAGCAAAATAGGTCAGAACGATTTTCTTTTCCTACAGAGGAGAAAAGGAAGCCGGGGCACAAACAGGTGAGCGGAGGGCAGCACACGGAGCTGTGGACGGGCCGGGGCTGCAGGGCCGAGCGGGACCCTCCTGCAGCAGCTCGCGGGCGCTTGGGAACCGGCTGTGCCCAGGGAGCAGCCCCGGCTGTGCCCGTGGCCCCGCGTGCCCATCGCCCCCAGCCCCTCCGCTCCTCAGTGCCCGGGAATGCATCCAACCAGGGAGCGAGGGCCGCGGATCTGCTGCGTGCACGTCAGCAGGGACCTCTAGAAACGGCCTCGTGCAGCCCCCAGGGACTGCAACCTGACCCGATGGCGCTGCAYGGGGAGGACCAGTGAGCACTAGTGTCCAGTCCTAAATCCAGCACATTGCTCCGGACACCTCGCGGACCTGCGACAGGCCCCAGGCTTCTGCTCCGGGGACTGCTGTGACACCAAAGTGCCCATGTTTAACCCTAGAATTGTGTCTTTAGCCTCCCGGTCCAGGCCACCAAGCTACAGGGCATGTCCATAGGTACCTGCCTACGGACAAGGACGGAGCCGGGGGGCACAGCGGCACGGGGACAGCATGGCCACTGGCACCGTGGCCCTGGGGACCCCTTCATGCCGCTGCCCTGAGCCCCGTGTCCCAGTGCCCATGTCCTGGCGTCCCGTGACGCCAGTTCGGAGGGGGCACCGCTGCCGGCTGCGTCCTGCCCAAYACATCTAACATGCTGAAGCACAAGATAAACACAGTGGTCAGTAAGCCCTGAGGCAAGAAAATGCACTCACCTCTTTCTGACTTACGTACAAATAGAAAGTCTTTCCTTCAAACTTCATTTTGGTCACCTCATTCCTGGGAGGAGAAGAGCAGAGTGAGTCCCGGGCGGCAATGCCCACCCCAGCACCCTAATGCCCGGCCCCGCCGCGGGCCGTGGGCGCAGCTTTAGCCAAATCGCTGGCTGGAATCATTGCAGCCCAGCGCAGCAAGAGCGAGGGGTGCTTGCAGCYGACAAGGAGGAGCCCCGACCTGGGGGGATTTGCCAGTGAACGTGATTGCAATTCATTTATTTGCCACAATCCTGCCYTGTGGGGCACCCTCGTGAGCAGCTCTGGGGGCCACGGGAGGCGAGGGGAGATCCCACTCGTGTCCTTCTCGGAAGGGCTGGAATCCCTGGGCAGCGGGTCCCGGTTAATGCATGCACCCATCTCCCCTGGGAACGGGAAGGGAGGCAGGACCCCGCGCGGGCCAGCGGCAGCTGCTGCCCTCGGCACCCGTGCGCCGGGGCTCCCCAWCCCGCGGGGCCGGCCGCGCGCGGCCGGGCGCCCGGGACTCACCACTTGATGAAGTGAACCCTCTTGTTGCCCTGCAGGACCACGAAGCCGAAGGGGGTGAAGGCCAGGAAGGCCGCGTTCCCGGACACGTCCTGCAAGGGAGAGCAGCTCCGCGTCACGCGCGGCCGCCGGCGGCACCGGGACATGGCACATCCGCCCCGGCCCTGCCGCCAAACACCGTCACGACGGTTTAACGCGGGAACGCGCAGCGGCGTCGAGGACCAGCCGCTCCGGGGGGACTGATGGGTGATTGATGCCGCGACACCCCCAGCGCCGGCACCGCTATCCATCTACTAGAAGGGACAAACAGCAGGGGCACACAGTGTCCCAGGTACCCGCGAGTCCTTCACTATTAATTAAGCTGCACAAAGGGAGAACCTGCTACCCCGGCTCCCCAGGGCCCTGCACTTTAACCGCAGCAGCTTTAATTTAATAAGCAATTTAATGGCAGCACCTGGGCTCCGGGGAGGCCATGGCTAGGTGTACGAGTACTYGTGCAAGGAGCACATGTGCTCTGGGGCACAAATCCACACCAGTGCACACACACACACACAGCATGAGCTCCACTTGCTTCCCTATGGCTATTGGGGCTCTCCTGGCTTCGGGGACACATCCCTGTCCCGCAGCTGGAGCAGAGCCTCCCCCACAGCCTCTCCCCTGCCTCGGAGCATGGGGATCCCACATGGATCACATTGGGAACAGCAGCATCCCGGTGCAAGCCGGGGTTCAGCGAGCATCGGGAACCCCTAGGACGGCACAGAAACAAGGTCAATTCTTGCACGTCCAACTGCTCTCTGCTATGGGACCGGGGCCACCATCCGTCATCGTCCCCGTGACAAAGGCCSTTCTCGGTCTGAAGGATGTCGCGGGTCTCCGTCCTCTTCCCACTCAGGTCCGGGCTCCCCTCGGTGCCCACTGCTCCCTGCTCCAGGCACCGGGGTTCGCATCCCGCAGGAGCTGCCCGGAAGCGCTCCCGAAATTCGTCAGGTTGCGCGGGGGGCAGTTCTCCCGCTCACATCTTCAGGATCCAAAGAAGTTGAGCAAATTGGTTTTAAATCCAGATTAGATCAAAAATCCATCTTAAGCTGCCCTGGGTAACTGGCCAAGAGCAAGGAGCCCTGAACGCCAGTGCAACATCCCGCGTGAAGCGAGACCCAAAGCCCAAGGCAGGGAGGGCTGGGAGGCAGCGGCCACGTCCTGAGGACGGGGACGGTCCCCTGGTGTCCTCGGGAGGACGGGCACGGCCGCGCGAGGGGACCCGGGCCCTGCTGCAGCCTTGGCCAAAGCCCCACAGCTCCCCCCGGCCATGGCACGTGAAGGACGTGAAAACCTGTGATTAGCTAAAAAAAGCGGCCTAGGGGGGATGCTAAACATAGAAGGGAGCGCGGGACACGGTCTGCGTTAGTGCGATCCAGCCCAGCGCTTCTGAAACGCTTTAAATATTAACAGCCCATCTGCGCGCGCCGGCTCCTGCCCGGCGCTGGCCAGGCCGCTCCGCAGCACAGCCCCGCTCCGGCGTGGAGGGTGCACTGAGGACACGGCATGAACCGGGGATGCGGGATGGACACGGGGTGCACCAGGGATGCAGGATGCACTGAGGACATGGGGTGCACCAGGGATGCAGGATGCACTGAGGACACGGGGTGCACCAGGGACGCAGGATGCACTGAGGACACGGGATGAACCAGGGATGCAGGATGCATGGGCTACACAGGATGCACCAGGGATGCAGGATGCATGGGGGACATGGGATGCAGTGGGGATGCAGGATGCACTGGGAATACGGGCTGCACCAGGGATGCAGGATGCACAGCGCACACGGGGTGCAGGACGCACGTGGAGTGCACTGGGGACACAAGGTGTGATGGGGTGACGAGGCCCAGCAGGGACACGGGGGACATGGACCYGCTGGCAGCCCCGCACACGCTCCCCTCGGCACCTCGGGGCTCCCCGCTTCCCAAAGGCGGCCCCAAACGGACCGCGAGCCCAAGGYGGCGGCCCCGGCAGAGCTCGGGCAGCCCCGGGCCGCCCTGCAGAGCCCTCCGCGCTCCGGAGCCGGCCCAGCGCACGGACAGCCCGGCAGACCCTCCTCGCGCCCCCAGCGCACCCCCAGGCAGCCGCGGGCCACCCGCTGCACGGGCCACGCGGAGCCGACCGCGAGGACACTGCGGTCAGTGGAGAGCGTTTCAACCAGCAGACTACATTACCGGCTGGGGAGGAATATCGAGCCACGCTGTCTGTGGAGATTAATATTTGCTGCTTTCTCAGGCTCGTTACTGACCCTGTTATTGCCTCCAAATTGCAGCGTTTTGCAGCAGACGACTCGCTGGTGTCCTTTACAGCTGTCTGCATGGAGACGCTTCCCGATAGCTCCTTATAGCTTCCTTATGTGCTCCCGTCCCTTCCTTCCCTCCCGTTGCAGAGGGATTCACAGCAGATATCCTCTCCGCTTCCCTCAATGCACCTATTTGCATTTAGGCCCCCCAAGTCTGGCTCTCGCCCCACCGGTCAGACCCGCTGTGGGTGCCGGGTCGCAGCCTCGGTGCCGTCAGCACCACCCCGCAGCTCGCTGCGACGGGAGCAATTTAACCCAAACCCAACTTTCTGGGGAGTTTTACCTTGCAGGGGTGRGGGTCAACCCCGTAGGTCTCCAGAGTCTGGGCTTTCCGTAGAAAATTTAACTCCGAAGTAGCTGGTGTCTGGCCGCTGCAGAGTGAAGAGAAAGGGAGCCGTGAGAGCGGGGACGCCACCCGCTGCCTCCCGGTGTCCCACGGAGCCGCCCCCGTCCCCAGCACGTTCCCTGTGTGGGCGCAGGCTGCTTTGACCCGTTGCAGGGCAGAAATGACCCACGCGAAGCGAGGGCTCTGGCAAGGCCGCTCTCCCCGTGCACACCGCGCAGCGCTGGCCTCACCTCAGCTCCGTCTTGTGGATCTCCGCAATTTTCCTCTCCAGCTTTTCCGAGTGCTTAGGGAAGAACTGGAACTTGGAGCTGTAGCCCTCTGGGTGCTTGCCCGGGTCGTAGTCCCCGATCTCCGCTGTGGAAAGCAAGCGCGGGTGAACGATGGGTGAATAACGGGTGAATAACGGGTGAATAACGGGTGAATGAGTGCGTGGGCMCYGGCTGCAAGGAYGCGATTCCCGAGGAGCGGCTGCGCTGCCCGCGGGGGCGGCGGGACRTGGGGAAGCAGCCGGGAYGCCGGCGGCTGCGGCAGCTCCGGGGCAGGAGGAGGGGACCCCGCGGCACCCATGGGAGCGGGCAGGGGACGGCACCGCTCCAGGACACCTCACGGCAGCGACGGGCGCGGGACGGGACCAGCCGTCCGGAGCACGGGAACACCCGCCGGCCATGCCCGCCCCGGTGGGAGCCTGACTCATTCCCAAGGCGTTTCCTGCGGCAGGGAATTCCGCCCTGGCCCGGGCACCCCCGCGAGCGGCTGGGACCCGCTCCGCACCACGGTAGTGACAGGAACACAGCCCAAACGAGGACTGTCTCCCACCAGGGCAGCGGCCCAGGCAGGAGCCGGGGGCTCATCCAGCGGCTCCGGCACCRCTCCGGCTCCCCCCAGGGCAGCGCGGTCACGGTGCCGCAGGGCACGAGCCCCCCCCGGCATTCGAGGCTCTTGCAAGCGCAGCAATGCAGTCAGTGCAGAGCTATCCCGTCCCAAAGCGCTACCTTGCAGGATATAGGCGGCCAGCAGAGCGGCATCCGAGGTCTTGCAGAGCAGGCGGCCGTGGTAGAGGTCTCGCTTGATCTGCAGGAAGACTAAATACCTGCGGGGAAGAGGGATTCCATTTGCAAAGTTAAGCACCCTAACCGGGCCGTTTGGATGTGCAAGAGCCTGCGCTGCGCTTCTCTCCAGCAGCCCCTTCTCAGGATGCTCCGTTTTGGGACCGGCCGGTGCTCATCGCCAGCACCTCCCACTACGGGGCTCAGATTCGGGGCTTCTGTCCCACTCGCTGGAAAAATTACACATCTGAATAAACTTAAACATAAGTTAGAGCCTGGGCTGCCCCACATGGCAATGCGCTCGGGAAAACCTGATAAAATGTAAGCCATACAGCTGGGCGGCAGGACGGAAACTGGAGAGCTCAGAAATGTGTCTCAATGCTCAGACTCGCTCTCCGCGGTATCTCAGTCACGCTTCACTTCTCCAGCCCATTTTTATGATGACAAAACCCACTAATTTTCACAGATAAAACGTATTAAAGATAAATCCGGCCATTAAAGACCATTCTGACACAGGGCGCCGCTTCTGCCCAGCACCGCCGGGAATTAGAGCAGCGTCGCGGTTGCAGCGTCCCTATCCACGAGGACAGGGACAGCCCTGGTTCACGGAAAGGGGAAGAGCCTCCGGCTGCATTCTCAGCTCCAGGCAGCCGGCCGCTGCACTGCAACCCTCCCCGCTGGGCTCAACTGCTGCACATGTCTGCTAATCTCTGATCAAAGAGAAGAAATAGAATTAACGGCCCGTATGYATAGCGTAATGTCCACCGAATAGCTGTCGTTATTCAGAGGAGATGTCTTTGGCCATTTCACATTTAAATTAAAGCCTAATGACTGCGCCGGGYGGCTGTTGCTAGGAGTTTGCACAGAATCTGCAAACTAAATAAAGTCTTGGGGAAAATAAAGACGTTTCCCAGTGAAACCTCCTGCAGGACGCTTCTGTGCGTCCCCAGAAGGTGCGTGACAAAACCAGCCCTCCGTCATCGCGGGGAGCCGCTGGCGGGTGCAGCGGGAGCCGGGCTGCACGTGGGGACACTGCAGCTGTGCCCGGCCGAGCAGCCCCTGGTCCCAGCTCCGGGCTCTGGGTGCTCCTCCACAGCGCGCTCCAAAACGCTTCCTTTACACACATCCCACCACTCTGCTTCCGGCGTTCCAGCTCATTTGTCCAACAAAAACACAGGCACTTCGTTAATGCAAAACCAAAGGCAAAAACAGGGCCTAGGAATACTCTAACAGGGCCTAGGAATATTCTAAATACACCGTGTAAAAGACAGCAAAATCCTCTCTCATTTGCTGCCCGCAAAAATAGATTGAAAATCCAAAGACTGAAATCCTGGAATATATTTAGCTCTTTCAATAAGCCTACTTAATTCTTGATGTGCTTAGCAAGGACCTTCGCTATTCGCTCGGAATATTTAATGGCATATGGGGCCTGGGCGCTGCAATTCTCCAGATGCCGCTGGAAAAACAACCCCGAGCTCCGCAGGGCCTGGGTGCTCGGGGGATTTAGAGCTGCAGGCAGGGYGGTGTGAGTGACACGTGGTATTTGTCACCATCTCATGGCTATCGGGGCCAAGAGGAGGCTGGAGGCCCTTCCATTTGCAGCAGCTGGCTGTCCACAAAATGACAGTCTGCTTTGAAGATGCACGAGAAAGTTTCTGCGATTTGTCGTTTTTTCCTTTTTTCTTTCCTTTGCTCGGGAAAGGCAACGCGCTGCCCCTCTCCGCAGCACACGTCACACGTGGAAGCGGAGGAGGAGGGCGCAGTGCAGCTGCGCACACACAAACGTGTTTGACACATCCCCGCGTGCCCCAAGCCGCTCTCCGAGCAAAGCCCTGCTCGCCCTCACTGCCTGCACCACGCACAGCTCTGCTCTCCTCGAAGCTACAGCCTCCAGAGCTTCGTGTCCTTCGGCACAGGAAAACTGGGCATAATCGGGGGGAAAATACAGCTGTTTTCACTCCGCCACATGTTGCTTCTCTGGATCAGCTTACTACCCTTGACTTTAACAAAATAAACCTGCTAATTAATAAAAATAGGTAAGAGTGAAATACGTGGCTCCTGGATGACTTGCTGTGGGAATCTCCCAACTCCTGGGCCACGGTGATCCAGTTCC